CAGTCAGTCACTCAGTAATGTATAAGGCCAATCCAACCCATGGGGAAGATCCATACGCAGGTATAAATGATTCTGACAAGATCCATGTTCAGGGAAAGATCCATCCCTCAATATAAATCAACCGCGCTCACTGCGGGTGTGTGCAGACTCTGGAGAGGCTCCTTCAGCCCAAGTGCCATAATAAGCCAGATCCAGGCATAAATCAATATAACATACTGCGGCGTGCAGCCAGATCCCACAATATCACTCATACTCAGGCCCTCGGCCTCACTCAATCATCAATCTCTCGAGTCTCTCGGACTCAGAATGCCATGAAACTAGCCTAAAATGATGATATGATGTGTCAATAAATATCAACAGAGACTGAGATATGATATGAAATGAATGAACATTTACCCCAATCTATATGGTGATAATCGCTTCAAAAGTCGTCTCAATCCGAGCTCCATAGCTCCAAATATGTAAAAATGTCTGAAGCCTTCGAAATAGAGTACTTTATACACTATTCCAGGGTTACCCTTCACAATTTCTATCACAAACCTCGTGATCGCTTTTGCAGGATAATTTTACCCTATGCGATCGTGGCCATATCCCCGCGATCGCGATGAATAAACTTCCATTTAACCCTTCCCAACTCTTCTCAGACAACCTGTAGTGTATTAGCCATAACGTTTAGTACAAAGCTCTAAATGATAAATAGTTTGATTTTCTGAAAACTAGACTCGAAGGGATACAATATTCATTTTTGGATTATCTCCAAATTCCTTATAGATTGCAAGTTATAAGCTTCCAAAGTCGGGTTAGTGCAACAGAGATTCTCTTCAATGCGATCGCGAGAAAGCTTTCCGCGATCGCGATTCACAACTCCATTTTTCCTATTTTTTTCTTTGCTAACGCGACCAAATCCACACGATTACAATGTACACCTATGTAGCCAAAAACCAGCTACTAAAAATGGCGTAGAAATGGTTTGAAACCACCCCGAAACTCACATGAGCCCCTCGGAATCCCGTACGAACATATCAACAAGTCCCATAACATAACACAGATCTACTCGAGGCCTCAAATCACGTATAACAACGTCAAAATCACGAATCATCGATCAAGATCAATCTCTTAAGTTCATAAACTTCAAACAAAGCGTCCGATTCAAGCCTAACCAATCCGGAATAAACCTAAATTTTGCATACAAGTTTCAAATAACATATCGAACCTTTTCCAACTCCTAGAACAACAATCTGAGCCCGATAACATCAAAGTCAACTTTGGGTCAAACTTATGAACATTCCGAACCTTCAAATTTCCGACTTTCGCCAATGAGTGCCGAAACCTTCTAGAAATATCTAAATGCAATTCCGGGAATACGTCCAAGTCCAAAGTCACCATTCGGACCTAACGGAACCATCAAAACTCTAATCCGAGGTCAAATACGCAAAAGTCAAACTTGGTCAACTCTTCTAACTTAAAGCTTCCTAGTTGAGAATCATTCCTCCAAATCAGTTCCGAATAACCTGAAAACCAAAATCAGTGGTTCACACAAGTCATAATACCTCATACGGAGCTACTCATGCCCTTAAACCACCGAGCAAATTGCTAATGCTCAAAACGACCGGTCGGGTCGTTACAATATATCAATTCGGGATTCACAAGGAATATAAGATTGAAAACGTGCTGGTGGATTTGAAATTTATCTTGGTTATAATTTGAGTACACTCGATTGTTTTTTATTAGGAGAAATAAGATATTTGGTGAAAACTTAAAAACTTAATACAAATTATTCTTTTTTATTATATGTATTACTTTTGGGAGAAATTCAAAAATAGCCAGATGTACAAGTGGTAATTGAAAAATAGCCACAATTTCAAAAGTAATTAAATTTTAGCCCCTTTACTTATAAAGATAAATCTGAACGAAAATACTGTTCAAAATCTGGAAAATACTCCAGCATAATATACTGGAGCTCCAGTATAATATACCGGTCCAGCATAATATGCTGGAAGTTCATACACAGGTGCTCCAATCTCCAGTATATTATGCTGGAACTTTCCGCGTGTTGGAGTTCCAGCATGATATGCTGGAAGTTCACGCACAGGTGCTCCAATCTCCAGTATATTATGTTGGAACTTTTCATGTTGTAGTAAAATAATAGCTTTTTACAATGACTTTGCAAACACTGACTATTTTTCAATTACTAGTCCAAAAACTAGCTACCCCGTGCTATTTTTACATTACTTTTCGACCTTAGAATTTGGGCTCGGGCTCAGCACGGGCTTACAACGTGCAACTAGTATATATATATTATTGAGGAATTTTCAGAAACCACTATTGTTTAGTGGTTATTAACTTCCTATAGCCACCATATTCGTAATTACTTCTTATAGCTACTGTTCAGTTGTTACGGTAGTGTATTCACTATATCCGCGTTGCTGTATTTATGAATACAGCAGCAAAAAGTGCCTAGAAATCAGGGTAGTCCAGTTGTACGCGCATGTATTCACATGTATTTGCGCCATGTATTCACGAATACATCAGCAAAAAGTGCTTAAAATCAGGGCAGTCCAGCTGTATGCGCATGTATTCACATGTATTCACATGTATTCGCGTTGTTGTATTCATGAATACAGTAGTAAAAAGCGCCTGAAATCAGGGCAGTCCAGCTGTACGCGCATGTTTTCACATGTGTTCGCGCCATGTATTCATGAATACATCAACAAAAAACGCCTAAAATTAAGGCAGTCCAGCTGTACGCGCATGTATTCACATGTATTCGTGCTGCTGTATTGATGAATACAACAATAAAAAGCACTTAAAATCAGGACAATCCAGCTGTATGGGCATGTATTCACATGTATTCGCGCCATGTATTCATAAATACAGTAACATCAATCACCTTAAGAATAGGTATGTCCAGTTGTCTAAGAGAGAGGAATAACATAAATAACGTACTTATGCCTCAGTGGTAGTATATACCATAAATACTTATTTTGCTATAAAACATAAAAGGTAGCTATAGAAAATAATATTTTAAAATGATTTTGATTTATAATAAATAGGGTGTATACCTTTGCCATATGAGGTACAATTTTCTATATTATTTCTTTTTTCGACGGTGTCATTTTCCATATTTCTCACTCGGTCAAAACCCAAAAGGTGTGGGTCGGAGGAAAAAGATTCTTCAAGAATCTTCACTTGTTGCATAAACACAACTATGGCTGTCCAACGGAACAGGACGGGACGGGACAAAATTAACGGGACGGGATGATATTTATCCGGGACGATGGCGGGACGGACGAAATAGGACGGGACAAACGGGAAGAAACAGTAGGCCCATCCCGCCCCGCTAACAAACGGGATGGGACGGGACGGTATGGGATGGGTTCGGGGGCCTTAAGTGCCGTTTAAAAAAATAAAAATTTAAGCATTAAGTGTGGCAACGTCTAGTTTTTTGACAATGACTAAGTTTTTTAAGTTTGCAATGGCTAGTTTTTTGACTTATGTAATAAACTTAAATGTTAAAACGGAAATTAGGAAACTAAGTAAAGAATTATAAAATATTAAAACAAAAGACTTGTAATGAAATATTCTAGAAATTATAATAGAGTTATAATTTATTTAATATAATTTCAAACTATTAAGTAACTAAGACAATTCATAAAAGAAATTCAAGGCTTAGAGCCTTTTATTTTATTAATAGAACTCTCAAATCTCACGTAAAAATATAATTCTTTTGAAGAGCACCTAATCTACGCAGCCACCTTCTAGGAAGGGTTCTGTTTGAATTAAGCCTCTTAGTAGCCAACTACAAATTATCATACTAAAATTTGTAAGCTCCTATATAGCTTCTTTGTAACTTATCTATAATTTCTCACGGACATTGTTCTAGAATTGGCAATGTTGATTGATGTTCCATGAGCTCCATGCCGTCATCGCTCCCAGTGCTAAGTATCTCATTATATTCTTCTTCTTCATCCCTAGTGGTTAATTTTTCAAAACCAAGATTTCTTCTTTCTGAATTAATAGAAAGAAGAAATCCAATCTCTGAATAATACGAAAATCTCTAGACTGTCCTGTGCTAATGAATGTTTATGATCTCCATTTTGAAATCTTTCTGCACTAAAAGCACTCTTCGATGCTACTGATGATGCTTGAATAGCAAGGATATCTCGGGCCATTATTGAAAGTGTTGGAAAAACCTTGCCACGCTCCCTCTACCATGCCAAAAGTTGTTCGTTGCCTTCTTCTCTTTAATACATTCCAATCCTTGATTAAGATAAGAATCAAGTTCATCATCAATAGAGGAATCAAAACCTGTTATATCATCCATATCTTCCCATAAAACTTCTGCTCTAGAATTAGAAGTAGAAGGAGCAGTTTCACCACCTGTTGTTTCCATAGATTTATATTTATCAAACATTGATCTAGCATAAGAATATATGCTAGCTTGGCAGTCTTCGAGAGATGGTTGTTCATTTTCTTGAATTGCTAAATTCTCATAAATTTTACGAACAAGTCCCTTTGCACCTCTTAGTTTTAAAGATGGGTTAAGTAGAGTAGAAATTAAATAAACTTGGGGAATAAGGAAAAAATACTTTTTAAATTTTGAAATCATTTCATTAATAACCGGTGCATAAGTTGGATTTGTTTTATACTTACCAAATATAACAGAAATTCCACAAATATACCATAATATTTGTGTAACAGTAGGATAATATATACCAAAAAATTATGTTGTAGCATAATAAAATATTTCTAATTTAGTAAGCTCTTTGATCTCATCCCAATCAGAATAATCTAGATAGAATGTAAGAGATTTGAGAGGGAATAATTGATTTTTGTAGGAAAAAATAAAGAAGAATGAGATATTTATAGTAGAAAATAGGGGCAAAGTGTAATTTAATAAACTTAGGGGTTATATTAAAAGTTTGGAGTAGGGGTGTTTTGGTGGGTAGGGGATGTTTTACAGGCTGGAACGGGACGGGACGAAACGGAACAAAACGAGACAATCCGGACGAAATGGCCATCCCGTTTAGAATGAAGTGGGCCGCGACGGCACGGGACGCGGACGGGACCGGGACTGGACGGACGTTGGACAGCCATAAATTTACACAACATAGAGCGCCAAAAGACAAATAAAACCATTATCTTCCACCCTTTTCACCATTAATTAGTAGCACTGTATTTGTGCCAAGGCAAAGAAGAAAGAATGAACACTTTCTGGGTTACCCTCTCTGCTTCTGTTATCGTCGTCCTTCTTTCCATAGCCTCACTTCCTTTTCTCAACAACAACGCCAATTACTTGAAACGTACTTATAAACACTTGTGTTTCTTCATTCTTTCTACAATTTTGAACAGTTAAATGATTCCTCTTGAATTTTCTTCATAAAATTTCATCTTCTTAGTTGCAGACTTGCGGAGAAGTTCAAGTGAAGTTGCAGATTTGGTAGTGACTAATGGGACTATTTACACCAGTGATGACTCTCTCCCTTTTGCTGATTCGATGGCCATTTCCAATGGCAGAATTCTCCGTGTTGGCAACTACTCTTCTATAAAGGTCCTTTTTCTTTTTTCAGTTTTACTTGATTTCATTATTCTAGGATTATCATAGGATTGACCAGAAATCCCAAAAGCCAGTGGTGCACAGTTTGAAACTCAGTGAATGTGGGCCCCGATCTGCCCCTCTACCCTTCCCTACTTAGGCAGTGTTCAAACTTCAAACCCGTGGGCCTAAGCGCCTGTCTCCACTTAAATACCAGACTTTTGCGACAGAATTGAGTACTTGCCCCTAACCCATACATCACAAGCTGACACTTTTACCATTAGAATAAAGCCTTGGGGGCGAGAAAACATAAAACATGTAATCCACTAATTTGCACAAATTTCCTTTTAAGCCCAAATTGATAAATTCATATCCTGCTTATGCTTTCCTGAGTTGTTGATAAATTCATATCCTACAGTTGAAATGTTCCATTGTTATATTTGACTTTACTTAGTATAGAAAAACAGAATAAAAGATAAAGTTGCACTTGTAGAAGAAAAGAAGGATAAAGTTGTACTGAGAGGTGAGAAGAACAAAAGTCAGTTGTTAAAGTATTTTTGTATGTTGGGAAAGTATTACAGCTTTGTGTTTAGGGGTAAAATAGACACATTTTTAGGCAATCAACAAGGAAAGTAGGAGGAGCATTTCATGATGGAGAGAGTAATTGTTTAAGATAAAGTAGCAGCAGTTGTCACTTTTCTCTTTAAAGTAATAAAACAGACTGCCTTTTGTTGCTAGCAAGTGTTTAAATTAACTGAAACAAAGGTCAAAGGTGTATTATATGTTAGGTGAGATATTTAAAATGATTAAGAAGGTTTGGATGGGTAAATATATTGCAGTAATAAGTGCTACTATTCAGGCCATTTGCTCCACTTAATAGTCTACTGTCCTTGGAACAGATGCAGGTTTTCCTCCTAAATCAAGGCCTAAGCAGTCTTTGGGATTATATTGCAGCTTGAACGCAATTCCATTGTATCACTTTTGGTTTTGAAGCTAGACGTTTACTGTTTGATCATGTTCATTGCTTTTTTCAACTGACTGATTTCATGAACTTTCCTCTGGATATGTATTTGATGCCTTCACGAGATCATATTAATGAGTTCCAACAATATATATCCATGCTGGTGTTTGTGACATCTTTCAATACTTCTGTACGATTAGGATCTGAAGGTCCCTTTGCTATCTTAGAGTAACTCGGGATTGAAGTGCAGTTTATATTTTTAGTTTCTTGGCGCACATTTGATTTCTAATTCATTTATCCCTTCATCTTTTCTCAAATGCTAAAGAAATGCAATATGAAGATTCAAGTAGTTGGTGAAGTATATACCATACTCAGAGCTTATGTTCAGGTTAGATGTGAATGCAGAAATTGGCAAGGACTTCGATTAAGGAGCTAAATCTACATGGAAAGATTGTGGTCCCTGGATTTATTGATTCCCATGTGCACTTCATCCCTGGGGGATTACAGGTTTGCAGCAGTCCTACCATCTCATATCTGTGTTTATTGTCAATCATAATCATCTAACTAGGTTCTTGACAAAGTTTGGCTGCAGAGTTGGTAATATTACATACTTCATACTGGGGTATGCTATTGGGTGCAGGGCATAAATCCCCTGAAATACGGCAGGGGGTCATTAAAAAGTGAAAAAGAAACTATCAAACTGGAAAAAGGAACATCTGTCCTCAGTAGGAAGAGTGGTTTTGATTAACAGCATACTGAGTTCGCTTCCCACTTATCATGACTTTGTTCCTTATCCCTGTCAAGGTAGGGTAAAGGATTGACCAGTTGAGAACAATTTTTCTTTGGAATGACAATAAAAACATCTTTACACTTGATCAAATGGGAGATCGAGTAAAGAGGGGGGAATTGGGATAAAAAATCTGAAAAGATCATAACAAAAGCCTGCAATATAAGTAGCTTTGCAGATATAGAAGTGGTACAGGCTAAATGCTGGATTTGATTTCCATAAAATACCACATGAAGAGGGAAAGGTTGCTGCTTATTCATTTCTTATAAATGTTTTGCAATTGAAGACTGAATGCATCAGCGTAGCCATGGAGGTTTTTCCACCTAAGCTTTATTCATATAGTAAAGCATGCATAAGTTCAAATTTCACCTTTTTATTTTTGCATATGTTGTTGGTTTGATTTTATCTAGGCTTCTCTTTGAAACCCATCAACCTGCAACTCTCTGTAGTTCAAATGCCAATAGTTGATTATAGTAGTTCCTCTACAAATTAAAGTATAATATTGTATTCCTATAACCTGTTATTAACTTCGGCAGATGGCACGAGTGGAGCTTCGTGGAGTAAATACAAAAGATCTTTTTGTGGAAAAAATTAGAAAAGCAGTTGCAAGTAAGTTTTATGTCTGCTGAGCTGCTCATACAACTATAACGTTTGTCACATTGGCATGCTCCGTCCTTACTTTGGCTGATACCAGGATCAACCCCTTTCTTGTCACTGGGTAAAAAGATAGTATATTCCTCATCAGCAGCAAACACTTTCAATTCATTCCCATTTATTACAACTTCGAAAAGGGGCTAATTTCATAACAATTTTTGTGGCAATGGGATATATCATTTGTTTTATATCTGTATGCTTCAATGTCATTTACCACAATAAGAGTATTATTCGAAGCTCAATTAAGGAGCGTTTAAGACCTGAAACTTGGTGTACCATAGGTTGGGCGCTTTGCTTTGCTTAGGCCGTGCTTAAGTTCAGGCATCAAAGACGCTAAAGCTGTAAAGCATGTGTCTGATTGCTTCTGGACTCTGTTTGGAAGAGGGTGACTCTAAATAATAAAGATAGCTGGCAAATGACATATAGATGTATATGTTTGTGACTAAGAATAGGACACTGTGAAATAAGTATAACAAAAGTACTTACTAATTTTGAATAGAAACTTAAAGTTACATATTTGCATCTGAAACATAAACTAGCTCATGCTTTCACACACTCAGTTTAGCTTTTAATGTGTTGTGAATTTGGGTAAAGTTTATCTATAAGGAGCAGATGTCACATGAAATACCCTTATCAGTTTGTTATAAATTTTAGCGATGCTAATGATTGTCTTTTTGGTTATCAAATACAAATTAACTATCTTTATAAGGTAATAACATATTCATTATTCTTTCTTTGAGATGATTTTCTCCCTCTAGCCTTTTGAAAATAGGAATTTTTTTACTTATTGAAAATGGTTAATTACAACGCCTCTGTGGTGTGATATCTGCTAACAAAGAAAAGAATGCACTTATAATAAGAAGAGGCTCAAATTCTGAAAGTCCATTGAAGATTTTGTCTAAGGAAAATGAATGAATAATATATATAGTATTGGCTGTCTTGAATTGAAACTAAATAGTATCAATTTTATCATGTCTTTCTTTGGAAATTCTAATAGATGTGAAAGAAGGTTCTTGGTTACTGGGTGGTGGTTGGAATAATGATATTTGGGGAGGTGATTTGCCAATGGCCTCGTGGATTGATAGTGTTACTCCGCATAATCCAGTAAGATATTTTCACGAAATTACTTTATTTCGCTTTAGAAATTACATAAATCTGTTGTTTAAGATTTGGCATTTCCACATGCAGGTCTGGTTAGCAAGGATGGATGGTCATATGGGTTTGGCTAATACGTTGGCTCTAACACTTGCTGGTATTTCGCGTAACAACGAGAATCCAAATGGTGGAGCTATCATTAGAAATAATGACGGGGGTAATTCATTTTTCATCTTCATATATCACTTTGCTTCTTAATTATTCAGCAATGCAAAACTTGTGAAATGGCCATTGGCCACTTGCTAACAACAATTGGGTTGGTCAATGGAAATGTGATCTGATTTGAGCCTAGACTATTTCCTCTTCACCTAAAGGTTCCAGCTATAAGTGTTGTCCAATAAGGCTCAAATTATTTTTCGAATTATACCTAACTCTTAGTCCCACTAAGATTGCTATCTGTAAATAATTTTGTTTATGAGAACTTTGGAGATTGATTACTGTTGATGACTTGACTCTTTAAAATAGTGCATTCGTATATTGCCTTGCCTATGTTTTTTTCTTTTCCCCTATAATGTACACAGAAGTAACGAATCCTACACAAAAACATGAATTTCTATGAAGAGCATTCAATCATCATTAGTGATTGGAACATCATATTTGCAGTTCACGAAAAAAGAAAAATAATCAACTAATGTGTCCAAATGGTATTTTGAACTCCTTCAAAAGCTGTTTCTTCCTCTCTTATTCCCGTTCTGTGTCCACATGAAAAGAGCTACTTCCCATGCTCTTTTCTCATAGTTTTTGCATTCACCAACTCAACTCCAACCATCTTGTACAGTATATAGTATAGCCAGTATGCAAAGGAGCAGCGAATTAATTACAGATTGACTTCCGCATTCACTTTCTTGACATAAAGCACCAGCTATTGTTAATTTTCCATCTCGAATGCTGAACTTTTAGGGTGGCTCCATGACTCTGTTAAAGTGAAGAAAGACACTTCTCTAGGTGCCTTAAGAACCCCTATTGAAGAATGAGGGGATTCCCTATGTTTCTTCTATGAATGTCATTGAAGGGGAGCCCTGGAGCGACGGTAAAGTTGTTTCCGTGTAGCCTATAGGTCACGGATTCGAGCCATGGAATCAGCCACTGATGCTTGCATCAAGGTAGGCGGCCTACATCACACCCCCTTGGCGTGCGGCCTCTCCGCGGACCCTGCATGAACGTGGGATGCTTTGTGCACCGGGCTGCCCTTCTTTAACGAATATGTCTTAGAAAGGCTTAAATGTGATGATCTATTCCTCTGTTTTTCCATTTCTGTCTGTCTTTATCCATAAATAATAGTCTTTGCTGGTATAGTTATCCAAGCAAGCTGTTGAGCCCTTCCCTATCTAATCTTGCAGGTTTCTCCTAAAATCAGGTCCCATACAATTCCACCTCTGTTCACAAAACTGGGCTATTAGTGGCTTCTACTAATTGGGATATTGAAGATGGACTGGAATGGAAGGCTTCAAATAAAGGGACATCATCGCTCCATTCCTCCGCAGCTTTTTGTTTTAGAAAGTATTCTAGTTCCATGGCCTATAAAACTAGCATATCCGCAAATCCCTACACTTTTATTGTCTTCCTCCAAAGAGTTACATTGTGCGGCAGTGTGATCTGGTCAGTCCTCCTATTTTACTCAGACTCTATACTTGTCGATAAATACCGTCCTCCACTATGCATGATATTTCTTATCGAAACCTCTAAACGCATTTTACCTAAGAGCCTGTAAGACAACCGTCGTCTTTAACCCCCTAACCTATAACTTTTGTACAGGATGTTGCTATCTAATTCACTAGATGATGAAGCACAATCAACCACTCCACCTTATGACTTCTAACTTGGCCGATTTATATCCTACAAAAGTTTATCTACAGTATTTTTAATCTTTTTGTAACAATTCCCGATAATGATACTAAAGATGAGTAGTATGTCTGTATGCTGGATCGAGTGCTCTTACTCAGTGTTGACCTACTAGTGCTCTTGATAAGTGTCTCTTTCGACTTTGTTAGATATTTTTTTCTGTAACCTTGCTAGCCTCTTCTCGACTTTCTCATCATTAGATTCATATGGTGTGTTTGAGACTCCGAAAAAGAGCCAATCTTACAACTAAGGACCTTTCCCAAATGTTCAATGTTCTGTACGTCACTGTTGGAAATTTATTTTCAGGCTCAAAACTATCTAAAACCATAGCAGCTTCTTCAAGTGATGGAGCTAATCACTAGACCATCTTCCCTTTGTTTGGTAGTGTGAAATGTGAATCCCCTCAAGCAACCTCCAACAATTGTTCTATTCTATTATTTGTTCGGTGCTTAACCATAATGAGCATGTTGATGTAGGATCACCTTGTTGTAGACCCTCTGAACTTTCAAAGAAACCTATGAGTTCTCCAACCAGGTCTAGGAATTTGACAATAGTCTTTGTAAAGATGATCCATTGTATCCATCTCTACTCGAACCCCATGTCTTCCATTGCAAAGTCCACAAGTTCTCGTTGACATTGTCATATGGCTTTTCCAGATTCAATTTGCACAGTATCCTTTCCTTCCCTACTTTTTAACTTGGAGTCCACTAAGGGTTTGCAATTAAACCTGCATTTAAAATATTGTCTTCCTCCCACCAAAGTATTTCATGATGTCGTCATAGCATCTATGCCTAAAGGAAAGCTTATTTATGAAATTCTTATCCAATAGACTTGTAGGTCTAAAGAATGTTCAATTCCCCATTCTACGTCTATATAACCGCAATAAAACATGCGTTTAGGCTCCTTCCAAATTTTCTACCGAATGGAAATAATTAAATGCACTCATGACGTCCTTTAATCTGTAGCAGAATCATTTAAAATATGTTTGGAACCATGCGTAGTTGGGGCTTTGTTCTCCGCACAGCATCTAATTGCCTCCAAACTTCCTACTCTGAGAACTCCCGCTCTAACCACTGACATTCTGAATCTTCACTCCCTTTTAATTCTGGCCTCAACTTTACATTTTTCTCATCTTCCTTGTAGAGTCGTGCGTAAAATCTGTCAATAGTTTGAGGTTTTTTGTAAATTGCCAGTATCATGAAAGTGTCAAGGTTTAGTTTCAACTTTACCTAGGTTATGTTTTCCTGTCACAGTCTAAGTTTCTTATAGTTTACTAAGCTTTGAGGTCACATGGATCTATGTACTTTTGATGCTTCCGTGTTTGGTTCAAATAGCCAATGCTTTGAACTAGACGGACTGTGTTTTCTGCAACTCAACACAATGTAATGTGATTTTTGATACTTCTGAAGCATGCCTGCAATCTTTTTCAATATTCTCTTAAAGCTGTTCAGTTATGTATACATGTATGATTTTATCTTTTTGTTCATACCAAAATGTATTACTGGAAACTTGTGGACATAGTCATGATAAACAGTGCTTCTCGAATCAATATGCTTTAATGTACCCATATCAACTGCCTTACCAAAAAAAGTACCCAGATCAACTGCGCCAGCTTCAATGAAGTTTGCTAAATTTAAATGCTCAAAGAAGTTAGAGAAGATCCTTACTTTTTGGAGTTTGTTATTGCAGAACCTACTGGTCTGTTGATTGATTCTGCTATGAAGCTTGTCCTTCCCCACATCCCAGAAGCCTCAGTTGATGAAAGGAGGGAAGCTCTGTTTAGAGCTAGCAGCCATGCATTGAAGAGGGGTGTTACAACAGTTGTGGATTTTGGCAGATATTTTCCAGGGTCTTCACCTGAGTACCCGTGGGACGACTTTTCAGGTTTAAGTTCCAACCAGAAATAAGATGGAATAAAATCACTCTACTTTCCTTATGGTTACTTTACTAGAAAGGATAATGCCTTTTTATAATTGTACTACAGGAACATTAAACATTTCAAAGATAAATTACTTGTTCAGAGATGAGATGAGCAAATTGGACCAACTTTCTAGCTTTTCAACTAGGAGTTAGAAGTTGGTCTGCTGAACATGTAAAAAAACAAGCTTAACTACTAAATTTTGTTTTCCTTCTCTTTCACTACCCTGAGGTATCTCAATGGACCAGGTTTTGTGTGTGGGTTCCTCCATAAACCATGTAGGGACGGGGTATTGGGGGAATAAAGTTGATATTATGCATCCATAGGCCTCGGCACTGAAAGTTGCCAGTAAGTGTATAATCTATAAGCAATTTTATGTGCCGTGATTGTATTGTTTAGTTACTTGGCAAATTGTAACTAAGATTTAAGTTGCTCGGACACGGGTGCGGGTGTCCGACACAGGTGCGGATCTAGAGGTCGGATCCTTCGAGATGTAAATTCTAAGATTCGGGGATACGGATCCTAGTACGGATACGGGTGTGGGAATCTGGCTAAAAGTATCTCTAAATATGAGAAATTTTGTGGAATACTTAACTTGTAAAGTGTAGATTTCTTTTTTATTCTCAAGTTGTAGATAAGTAAAGGATTGATTTCCTATATAAGGTAAGCTGTTTTCCTTAAATTATCCCTAGTTTTGGTTCTTATTTCTTGAATCAAATTGTATCTCATCTCGAAGTTTTCCAACCGTTGTGGTCAAAGTACCCAAAATTGTTTGACCAAATCCGGTACGGATCCCATGCCCACACCCATACTAGTGTCATGTCGACACGGGTGCGGCGCCTAAACTGTCGTGTCGGAGCAACATAGACTAAGATTATGAAAGAAGCATGGGAACCAAATCAGTTATTGGAAATTTTGTGACACTTCAAGAGAAGAAATGAAGGGAAACGAACGTGTCTGTTAATATCAGATCAGTTAAGGTCTAAGACAGAACTGCAATGACATATATTACAGTATCCCCCCCACCCCCACCCCCACCCATCCACCCACCCACACACACACCCCACTCTGTGTGTCGTTTGCTTGCTCAATCTTTCGGTGGAAATTGGAAGTTGCATTTCGTCCAAAGTTAATCAGAAATTTTGGAGGAAGGAGAGTCTGAAGGGGGCTGTGGGCTGAGAACAATAGGCCATAAAGAACGGCTCTGGGCTGGGTGGTCAAATGCTAAACACTGAAGATCTTCCTCAACTGCTTCTCTATTTGTCATGCTCATTTTGTTATTCCCTAGCTACAGGTGGAACATTTATCTAACTTAGTCAACACTTCCCTTATAATTGCAGATGTATATAGATGGGCTGATTTATCCGGAAATATGATGACCAGAATTTGCTTATTCTTTCCAATGGAGACATGGTCACGGTTAGTGGTATGTCATGACTGACATTGCTTTACTGAATTGTCAGTCTTTCTGAGTTTTTCCTTGCATATGAGATCTGATTCTTTGGCAAACCAGCTGACATGAACTCATGTCCTACCCTTCAGAATATGTAAAATTGCTTTAAGAACATACTAGAAGCTGAAATGGGAAAGCTAATGTTGCAGATTGCTCTGCACCTTATCTTGGTCCGTGGATATAGACAAACGTGGAAAGGTGCAGATCTTCTGAGTAAAAAGATTCCGAGGTTCTAAAGTTTTGTATAGTCTTTTCTAGTTCCTCGCCCAGCTCTCCTTCACACTTGTAGGATCAGTAAAGTATATCATAAGTATAACTTGAATGTTAAAAGTACGCCAGATTTGTTTCAAGATTATACATGGGATTACATAGGACTCAAATCCTTGGCTCTGATACTATGTAAAGAATATAGAAGGAAGAAATTTTGGATTGAATTGCTTGGATTATTCCCTCAGGCATGTTGGGGTTTAAATAGTATTTACAAGTAATCCTAGAAAGGAAGGAAAGTAATTCCTACTTTTAATTACACAATAATAAGGATTATAATCCTTATTTTCCAAAAAAGAATAAGTATTCTAATCCTTTCCGATATTTACAAACAATGGCCTCTTTCTATATTAGCGATTTCCCAAATCTTAGCAACCAGCTTTTTTGAGTTTTTGATGAACTTACGTTTGGGAAATGTTTTACATCTTTTTCCTAGAGTTGGCCCTAACGTAAGATTCTGTGGTCATTCTTATTCTAGCTGCAGTGGGTTATGTTGCATATCTCCTTAAATGCACTTTCACTATACTTGGACTTTTACAATCTTGTATTGGTACTCAGGATCTTATGAGCAAGTCAGGCCGCGTGCTGAGCCAATGGATTTATTTAGGCGGTGTCAAGGCTTTTGCTGATGGATCTCTAGGGTCTAACAGTGCATTCTTTTATGAGGTAAGAATAAGATGCTTTCTCGTTTCGAAGAGCCTCTCTAAACCACAAACTAGTAACAGGGACCGGGGGGGGGGGTAGGGGGGGGAGGGGGGGTTCATTGTGTTTAGTGTTCTGATATCTGTCGTGTCTCTTGTAGCCATATGCTGATGATCTAAACAATTATGGGCTACAAGTAGTGGATCTGGATAGTCTATACAACATGACTCTTTCTTCAGATAAATCTGGCCTTCAGGTGCTTTTTCTATTTTTATCAACCATTTCGTCTCTTCTGAAGTTGCAAAAAATCACTAGTCTTATGGGCTACAATTTACATTTCAGGTTAGCATCCATGCTATAGGTGACAGAGCTAATGACTTGATATTGGATATGTATGCTTCTGTGGCCTCTGACAAACAAATTAGAGACCGACGATTTAGAGTATATCCAACTGCTCTGGAGATTAATATATTTATCAATCAATTAAAACTCTCTTTGTTGGTTGATTTTATTAGGTCAGTTATTTCTTCAAGGACAAGTAATTTCTAAATATTCAACTATTGCTTCACAGATTGAGCATGCTCAACATTTGGCCGCAGGAACAGTGGCTCGTTTTGGTGAACAATCTGTAGTTGCTTCAGTGCAGGTTATTTTTCAGATGGTTGTTGTACCTCTTTCTTTTCTATTGAGATTAATTCTGTTCATACATATAATAATTTGGAGGACTTGAGCAGTATGCTTTTAATGCACACCAAAGATTAAACGTCTAGAAACTCTGACATTCAAATCTATTTGTAAAATATATGCAAGATGCCAGGACTAATGAGTTATCTACAACTTCCTCTAAGATCATCACTATATTGCTCTTGTTATGTTTTAGAAATCTGAGGCTGCTCTAGGTTTCCAGGAAGCTTTTGATAAATCCGGCGAGCACCTTTCTTAGAACCTTTTTAATTACAAAGATATTTTTTAATTAATTATAGGACTAGGATCTCATGCTAAAGCTATAACCAATAGTGGAAGAATTTTTTAGATAAGCAATAAAAGTTTTCGTAATCATTGGATAAGACCATACCATTAATTTAGGAAAAAAAACTGGTTATGTCATTCAAACTTGAGCATGGCTCTCTCTCTCTCTCTCTCTCTCTCTCTCTCTCTCTCTCTCTCTCTCTCT